ATTGGATGATAATCCTTCCACTACAATAATGTATCGATGCAAAACTCTGTGTATTAGATGATGCTGATGCATCAATCGGGAATTCATATATTATTCTCAATCTCTATAATAAGTGTGTTCACTTGTGGTACATCTGGTACTCATACCATATTCTCTAACATTATGCTACTAGGTATGTGATTCATAATATGATTCTTCTATAGATAAACAGTGAGTGTAAACAATCAACTTTTATCATTGAGATCATAAAATAATCCATCCTAGTGCCTTTATTGTAGCTATCAAATCTATCATGCGTATAATCTGTTGCCAACTTACTTGTCCATATCAAGCACACATGTGCAAGACTACCCCATATGTGCATGTGATTCAGACTAAGATTTAGTCAAAAACACAGTTCAACAGTATTCTTGAGACAGACTAAGATAGAATGCAGTTCATAGTGCGCATTGATATCATTAACGCTAAACTCTTAAATGAAAGAGATAATGTGGCATAATTGATCATAGATCTAACCATGTTAAGCGGAATTCTGTTATTCCTATTTGACACCTCAATCCATTGAGCGTCAATTACGAAAAACTGGTACACAACACCCGTGATACCCCTTGATTCTAGAACCACGGGTGATCAAGTCCGGGCACAGATCCGAAGGACACCAGACAATTAATATATAAACAAGCAGGAATAAAACTGAATTAAGAATAAAATAATGATATGCTGAAAAGAATTCTAATTGTAAAACCTCCAAAATAAAAGTTTTAATATAAATAAACTTTTCAATCCGTACAACTCGGGAATCTATCTAGTGGACCCCTAATAATTCCAACTGGTAAAACATTTACAGAATTAAAATCCAAAACCAAAATAAGAAAGAAAATCCTATGTAGTCGGAAGAGTGAGTGACTGTATCTGCATCACCACGATCAAACCCTAAGCCTGGTACTCACGAACACCTGAAAAATAAAGGTGGGTCAGGCCCACATGCAAGTTCCATCCTATTTCAATCCGTACATAAACCCGATACGCAGATACATCCTAGATAGCTCGGCAATATCAACAATAGTCCATAGATATATAAATACACACTATAGGATGCTCACTAGCCTATAACATAGTTCAGCCTGGGTAGAAGGTGACATATAAAACACGCTTTTCAGCGGCCAAGTACCTAGACCTACCAGGGAACATTAGCTATATCTAGCTACTCAACCTTTGCAATATACGCACCCTAACCGTGATCAGGAGACTCAAGCTCGTATCACGGTACCATAAATATATATATAAATTCTTTCCTAATGCAGAAAAATAAAACAAACATCCTTTATGTCGTTCAACTGTTTTAGTTGACAGGGCATGCATCCATGTAGGATTTAACTATTTTAGTTAATCCATTCCGTATGTATGAAAGGGGTAGGACTTAGCTTTTTGATCTAATCCATCCCTGATATGTCACCGTCCCATACCGATACATATAATGCATATGATCCACACATGATGCACACTCAAAATGAACATCAAGTATATCCAGAACCAACATAATAGAAATCAGATATAGATAAACTCCTATCATGCATCCAGTATATGATTATATTCATAGAACCTCCTTTTAAATTGTTAAAATAAGAATAAACAATTTAAACCATCCATTTCCATGTAATTGACAGAACAGAAATTAAGACAGTTCAGCAATTATCCTTCATAACATAATATAATGAATATCAGAATTTTAAAATGCACATTATACTAGAATTGCAAAACAACACATCCATACTAGTTCGTTTAAAATGTTAAAATGATGACTAGCATTTAAATCCTCCCATATCCTTTACGGCATGCAAATTTATAATTAAATCTCATGGCATCTATATAATTCCCCATTATAAATTCTGTGTCGGATATAATGACACTCCAAAGTTTAAGTACATCATATGAAACTTCAAAAGTATTTTATACCAGTTTCATTTAATTTGCTGACACGAAACTAGTAACTAACCTTCCACTACTCCCGACAATATACAACTTATTAGATACGAGTACATGACGTCATAACCAACATTCCTGGAACTGAACTATGCTAAATATATCATTGATATAAATTCTAACAATAATTACAATGTCAGTCCAAATTAAGTTGTCAAAACAACTTAGCAAAACAAGCATTCCTTCTTCCTTGACAGTAGGCCTATTATAAGCTTATGTATTATGACATGCATTTAGGTTTAACACCTTAGCATAAACCAACTATTTGAAGGCTTCAACAAGTTAATTTTAATCATTTAAAAACCCCCATCACTTTCCAGTAATTACCTTTAAGCCCCTGAACTTCAAAAAAATTACAAAAAACACCCGTAGGGGTTTTTTTCCCATGGGAGCCGGCTCCTAGACTTCTAAAGCCGGCTCTCCCTCATGGAGAGCCGGCTCTATCTTCATGGGAGCTGGCTCCCACCATTTAGGAGCCGGCTCTCACCCCTGAGAGCCCCTCTCTGCTTCACTGCTTCGTCTTTGCTTCCGGCAGAAGTTCCAACTGTCTTTCCTAAGTTTCTTAAGGATTTTAAGAGTTCAATTTAAGCCCTAATACTCCTAGAAACTCCTTTGATTTCCCTAAGAATAGTTTGGCAAAAATCTAATTTGAAGACAAAAATAGTTTATGCAAACAACCAATTCAGTTCTTCTTCGCTTCCGGCAAAATCCAGTGTCATATACCAAACTTTTGTAGCATTCTTTGGATTCTATTTAAGTTCTTATAGTCCTAGAACCTCTCATACTCCAGTGTAAATCAAACGACAGAAATTAAACTCACAACAGAATAGTTTAAGCAACAACGGGTTTAAACTTTAAAAACACAGAACAGATTTCAGAAATCATCTAGCAATGCATAAAATCCGTTTTTAATAGTTTAATTTAGTTCCTGGAGTCTACATAAGATGCACAGAACACAAGTTTATGGGGAAAGAGATATTCTGAAACTTGCCTTTAGGTTTCGGTTTGAAACCTTTCAACGCCGTTGCTAAATTCTCCGACGAACTGTAGACTACCGGCAACTCTCCTACTGCTCCAGTTCTATCTCAGCATCAACCTTTTCCTTCCTCTATGGTACACCTTTAGTCCATAGCTGAAAGCTTGATTGATTCTCTCTGTGTCCCTCTGTGTTTTTCCCCTCAAACCTCTCTGTTTCTCTCTTCTCTAGTTTCCCTCTGTTTACCTCTCCAGATTATTACGCGAAAAGGGTGTCTCCCAAAACCCTTGCAGACAAATATTTTTCTATATATATAGACTCATGCAAAAACCCTAATCCTAATTCCAGCCCAAGTATAAGTCGTCCAACCAAAATACTTAACACCAAAACCCTAAACGTAAATATAACTACAACCATATAACTTAAACCAAATAAGTCACACAAACCATTTTAAAAACACGTAATAATAAAAAAAAAATACCAATTAATCAATATTGTTTGAGGGGTTAAAGTGCAATATTAACTAATTATCTATTTATTTAAATTATTAATCAAGATGTCTTCTCCTTGATCTCCATCTTCTTGGTAATTGTTTTGCCTTTATGAATCACTCATAAGCCTCCATGAATGACCTTGGAAAATTAGGCTTGTGGAAACCTCCATTAGATGAGAACATTAACCCTAATTTTCTAGAGAGAAAAAATATATTCCTTTTTCCTTCTCATCAAAATCATACCTAAAATATACATAAACCATGTATATTTATAGGCAACATAAAGATAAAGAAAAAGAAACAATAAATCATTCTCAATCTCTAATTCACATGTCTCAAATCTAACAGGATTCCAATATCAAGTTGGGCTATGAGTGAGAATCCTTTGGGCTTATTATTTTATTGGCTACAATGAATTAATAATTGACCCGGTCCATGAACCCAATTCATTTAATTCATAAATTAATTTATACTCCACTAAAAGAAATTAATTGAACTCCAATTAAATAATAAATAACCTCTAAGTCAATATTGCACTTTAACCCCTCTATGCATAATTAGTTATCGGATAAATAAAGCTATCAATCCGACTACTTAATTAATATATTTATTTTGCTATCATTGATTATTTCTGACTCGATAACAATAAAACATTTGTTTGACAAAAATAATAATTTAAATAAATAAATATATAATAAATCATTTTGTTTAAAAATATACGAAGGCCTTCGAATTTACTTTGTGATCAACCATAATCAATACAAAAATAAATACAAGTAGCAATGATGCAAATATTGAAAATATAACCCTCTAATTATTAATTACATAACTACCCAAAGTGTCTGTCTAAGAATCCCGAAGTATCCGTCGAACAAATTAAAGAAATTATTAATTAATAAAAGAGTTTATACTTTTCTTATACTTAAGAGTCAAATGCCATGACAGTGATAGGGAGCAATTGCGTACGATGGCTCTCGCAATATATCTCAACCTAACGCGGATCCAGTTCAAGTCTTTATTAATTATGAGTCTATCCATAATTACCGACTATGAACAATTTATGATTACTATTTATATTCATGTATTGATCGTCATCACATACATAAATAAAGATCTCTTGTAATCAAATGGACACTATCAATTCTATAATGAATCGAAACATAATACGTTGAATTCACCAATTGTATAAAGTATAAATATTTCAGAAACGTCAGGAACATATGTCACTATAATCCAGATAGGAATTTGCTATGCCAGGGCATATAAATCCCAACAGGTACATCTCTAGCATCCTTGGATAGCCACTTTTCGCAGACTCTATAACAAAAAACATGGAAAAAACCAGATATGCAAAAGTCTGTGTTGACATCAATGCTTCATTCGATTTTCCCTCGTAGCTCAAGATCCATCTTAGCAATGGTAAAGTTGCCGATGTCCTAGTGGAGTACCAAAACTGTCCAGCCATTTGCTCTTATTGCAAAGTTTTTGAACACACCAAGAAAACATGTTATCATTCCTCACCCCCAAAAAGGACACCACAGCCCAACCATGAATGGCAAGTCGTCCCTTCCTGGAAAACAAGCACCTAACCTCAACAATTGCACCCAATCCCCTCCACACCAGTTTTCTTCCTCCACATCCTCACCAAATCCAATCTCACCTCACTCAGGACAGAACATCATCACCCATTACTTCAACAACAATGAAGGCTTCACCATTGATCTTAGCCCTTACAAACCCACCCAAATGGTCCCTGAAACACCTACTGAACCATCCATTTCCAAGTTACAGTGCACTATTGTCACCCAACCACTTGAACTTCCACCAAATTCACCACATAAACCATCATCATCACTCCAAGCTGCTGAACCTGAATCTTCAAGCCTTTCTGAGTCCAATTCAATAACAAGCTTACTTGCTGACCTATCCAAACCTAAAACCAAAGAATCAAGCAAGATCAAGAGGAAGCTTTCTAGAGAATGCACAGCAGCACAGAAGGGAAATCTTCTCCCAAGGGGCAGTTTTTTCAACACAATCAAATGGTATCAATAGCCATTTGGAATATTAGGGGCCTCAATTGTCCCTTAAAACAGGTTGAAGTAAAGCAACTTCTTTCATAAAATGGGGTAGACATTGCTTCCATCATTGAGACCAAAGTTAATTTAATCAATATTGACAGAATTCACAAATTCATTGCTGGTTCTTGGGACATCACCCATAATTACCAATTTTCTGACCTTGGTAGAATTTGGATCCTTTGGAATCCATCCTCAGTCAACCTTCAAGTGTTACAGAAATTAAGGCAAGTAATTCACTGTCATGTAACCATTCTGAGCTGCAGAACAACTTTCTACATCTCATTCATCTATGCAGCAAATGATCCCTCTGAGAGAATCAACCTTTGGACAGATATTGAAAGGCACTCTTCTACCCTCTCATCTCTCCCATGGATCCTTGGAGGAGATTTTAATACAATCAAAGCTCTTTCAGAAAACCATGGTGGCTCAAAAAAAACTTCCAAAGCAATGCTTGATTTCAAGACCTGCCTTCACAACTCCAATCTTGAGGACTTGAACTACTCAGGAATCTTCCATTCATGGTCAAACAAAAGCCCTGGAGTCTGCAACATATCCAAGAAGTTGGACAGAGTTCTCATTAATGAATCTTGGAGCCAATCATTTCCCCTCTCCCATTGTGTCTTCCTCCCACCTAGAATTTTAGATCATTCACCAATGATCATCAAGCTTGGTAATCCGAGGCCTTCAAAGAAGGTCCCTTTTAGGTTCTTTAGTTGCTGAAGCTCCAATAATGATTTCTTACCTCTGATCACTGAGCACTGGAAGATTGATGTTCAAGGATTCACCATGTTTCAGTTGTAGCCAAACTCAAAAACCTCAAGCAGCCTCTCAAGTTGAAATTCTCTAAAAACTTCAGCGCCATCAAGAAAGAGATTCAAGCTGCTAAAAACCTTCTCTCATACTGCCAAATCAAACTTGATGCTGCTCTACATGATATTCCATTGAGGAATCTTGAGAAACAGCTCTTGTCATCCTACAGCAAGCTTAAATCTGATGAAGAGCAATCTTACCGTCAAAAATTAAGGATTAAATGGCTAAAGGATGGAGACTCCAACACATCTTTCTTCTTTAACTCCATATCCTCAAGAATCAATAGGAACAAAATTTCATCCATCACTGCAGCTAATGGTGAAGTCCTTGACACTGCAGAAGCCATTAAAAGAGAGGTTGTTTCTCATTTTTAATCCACACTTGGGATGAACCCACACCCGTACCCATGTATATCTCACTTATTCCCCTTCATTCAACCAATTGTGCCACTATCTTTTTATGAATCACTTTGCTCTATACCCCTGATGAGGAGATTCAAATGAGCATGTTTTCCATCAACACTGACAAGGCTCCTGGGCCTGATGGGTATAATTCTTTCTTCTTTAAGAAAACATGGCCTATCATTGGCAAAGATGTCACTTTGGTAGTCAAAGAGTTCTTCACCTCAGGAAAATTACTTAAGGAAGTGAATTCAACTTACCTATCCCTTGTGCCAAAAAAACCCAACCCAACTTCCATCAATGATTATAGACCCATCTCCTGCTACTCCACAATTTACAAATGTATTTCAAAACTCTTGGCAAACAAGCTAAAACCCATCTTACCTCACATCATTGGCCCATCTCAGTCTGCATTTATCCAAGATAGGCAAATGAATGATAGCATCCTGCTTGCCCAATAGCTTCTCAATGGCTACCATACGCACTCACCCTCACCAAGGTGTGCTCTGAAAATTGATCTAAAAAAGGCTTTTGATTCAGTGTCTTGGGAGTTTCTTTTTAACTCTTTAACTCTGTTGGGCTTTCCAACTACCTATTTGAATTGGCTTCACACTTGTGTCACCACTCCCTCCTACACCATCTCCTTGAATGGTGAGTTCCATGGGTTTTCAAAGGAATTAAGGGTCTAATACAAAGGGATCTTCTCTTGCCCTTCTTATTTGTCATTGTTATGCAAGTTTTTTCATCTATCACTAACAAGCTCACCAAGGACCAACCTTTTAAATACCATTGGAGATGCAAAGAACTCTCATTGACACACCTCATATTTGCAGATGACCTTATGTTATTCTCACATGCTGACCTAACCTTACTGCAAACCCTCAAAAATGCAATCATAACCTTCTCTACACTCTCTGGTTTGCAAATTAAGACCAGTTTAGGTACCTTTATCATCAACTCCACATGGTGCTTTCCTCACTCTATCACCTTGATCTTTCCTCAGCTTCTCCAAACTGAAAACCCTCCCACACCTAACACCATGAATCGAGACAAATTCATTTGGATCCCATCTCCATCAGGTTCCTTCTTAGTGGCACACACAATGAAGCACCTTAACAAAGACATCCCATCCCTCATTTGGCCGCACCTGGTATGGTCCATGTAATACCCCTAATTTTAAAAGGATAGTCTCGGTATTTATTCATTTGTTTTAATTATATTTTTAATTATTTAATTGATTATTTGACTAATTGCTTATGTGTTTAATTGAATTAGATATTATTTGATTATTTGATTATGTGTCTATGTATTATTTGTATTTGTCTATGTGTTAATTATTTAATTAGATTATATGCTTAAATGGTGTTTTGATTAATTATAAATTAAATGTTTTTTTTTCTTTTATTATTTTATTTTATTTTTCTTTTATGGTTAGTAGTAATGGGCCAACCAATTGGGTCCCATGAACTACTTGGATAGGAGGTTGGATGTGTATGGATTATTACCCATGAATAGTTGTGTAGGTATATATATAGATATATATTATATGCATATATAAAAAGGAAAGTCATTTATTAATTACTTTTATGGTAGCTTGGGTAATAATATTTAATCTGATGTATATATTTTATATTTAAATAATAAAAAAATACATAGATTTGATACGTGTTATGTTTTAAGTTACTTTATAATATTATGGTAACTTAAAATTATTGGATAATCCATTAATAAATAATGGAATGTGTATAATTTATTTATTTAATAAACATATACAAAAATTATATACGTAACATATTTTACTTACCTTTTTAATATATATAAAAGGAAAAATAATTTATTATTTATTTTATGGTAACTTGGGTAGTAATATTTAATCTGATGTATATGTTTTATATTTAAATAATAAAAATATACATAGATTTGATACGTGTTATGTTTTAAGTTACTTTATAATATTATGGTAACTCAAGTATTATTAGATAATTCATTAATAAATAATGGGATGTGTATAATTTATTTATTTAATAAAGATATACATAAATTATATACGTAACATATTTTACTTACCTTTTTAATATATATATTTTTTTAAGTTGACTTGGATTTAGAAAAGGGTTAGGGTTATTTTATTTAGCCTATAAATATATAGTTATAGGTTGTAAAAGGGGGTTAGAAATATTCACGTGATATATTTTAGAGAGAGAGAGAGTTAGAGAGGGAAGGAGGAAAATTAAGGAAGGAATGAGGAAAAAAACCATGTAAAGAGAATATTAAGGAAGAAGAAGTGTAACTTTCGATCCGAAAGTTTAAGACAAGTTCTTTTTTTATCTCTTTCCCTTTGATTCATATTTCTATGCATGCCTAGGAAATTCCAGGATTTATTAAACACACAAAATTAAATAATTATGCATGTTTAATTGGATTAGAACATAGGTTTTATGAAATTGGTTCATATCTGTTCTTGTGTTATGAATTGATAAATGCATGATTTTGATTAGATATTCGGTGTGAATTTTTATATGCTTACATTATGTATTTTTCATATCTGTAGAATGATGGAACGTAGAAACATGCCTAGGATTTCTGAACATTAAATAGGAACTAGGTTTGGGTTTAAATAAATTTAAATAGACTCAATTATAATGATGCTTGCTATTTGAATATTTTAAACAAACGAATGGATTTAATCTTTTAAAATGTTTTAACAATTAAGATTAAATGTGTATGATAAATTGGATATGGCGAATGCTTATTTGACGGTATAATAAAATATCATCATGTATAAGATTCAATTTTTGTGGGACATATGATATAGCAAACTTAAATAAATAATAAGTCATTCCTATTTTGTGATAACTTGATATCATATTATCATAGTTATTTCTGGATTGTTTGATGTATTTCCTTAATCGTTACATCAATTGTTGGATTGTGTGGTTTAATGCACCGGTATGGGACGGTGGCATTCTAGGGATGGATTGACTTATCAGTTAAGTCCTACCTATTTTATATAAGGGAATGGATTAACTAAAATGTTAAGTCTTACTTATATTCAAGTTAGGTCAGCTGAACAAGTTGAATGACTTATGGAGGATTAATTTATTATATAAGGGAATGGATTAACTAAAATGTTAAGTCCTACTTATATTCAAGTCAGGTCAGCTGAACAAGTTGAATGACTTATAAAGGATTAATTTATACTGGATAGGATGGTTATTAGATTATATATATATAAGTATGGTACCATGATATGAGCTTGAGTCTCAGGATTAGTGGTTAGGGCGCGTATATCGCCAAGGATGTGTAGCTAGATAAAGTGTAGTTGTGTACCCTGGTAGATCTAGGTACTTATGCCCACTATATGTGCGTTTTGCATGTTGCCTACTATTCAGGTTGAGACAACCCTATAGTCTAGTGAGGTTCCTTTAGTGTGTATATATTTATATACGGACTACTAGTTACTGTTGGATTGACTAGGATGTATACGTGTATTGAATCTCTGCTTGGACTGTAGTAGAGTAGAACTTGTTTGTGAGCCTGACCCACCATTATTTTTCAGGTGTTCGTCAGGAGTAGAGGTTGTTCGTGCTGAGCGAGGATCAGTCTACTTCATTCTTCCGATGCTACATAGGAGTTCCTTTATGATTTAGTTTCCTGATTTAGATAGTTATTGCTATCATTTGTTTAGTTTGGATTTTCTAGGGGTTCACACAGTATGGATTCCCGAGTTGTATTTTAGAGGATCAGTTGTATCAGAAGAGTTTAATAATTAATGGAAATATATTCTTAGGTTTATTATTAGATTATCATTTTAGTTTCTTGTCAGCATTTTATTTATTTTTCTTTATTCTTTTGTACTCTGTGTTCGTTTATTATCAATTTGTTTTGATATCCTCGGGTATTCGGGCGTGGGTCTGGCCAACCCGCATTCGAAAATCTAGGGGTATCACAGTTGGTATCAGAGCACTCCAGGTTCATGTGTCCTTAGGAGTGTCTTTCGTTATGTGACTTCCGCGTTGCGTCTCTTAAAACTTAGAGCCCGTATTAGGATTCGTTGTACTCTATTTATGGTTTGTTAGGAGGAGCTGATGTCAATTATATTCTGTAGTCATAGAATGGTTGGCACTAGGAAAATGATGGGCTCAAGGCGAAAGCGATAAAGACCCAAAGGAGTAAAGGAGTACGTTATCGATTTCGTTTCCAGAAGGCAGAGTTAGGGATCGATGGTTTAGGTTCGTTTGGCGTTACTTTAAAAGTATAAGCCATGGAAGGATTTAGGTGTACGTGATAGGTCACCGCATATCAGGGCCAACACGACTTCAGTTGATCTCAAAAAAGAGACAAGCGAGGAGTAGGAGCCGAAGTGAATCCTAATGGAGGAGATTTATGTGCATCCAATAGAGAGGGTACTAAATCTTGAAGATGGATGATCCCGCGAGGTGATCTGAATTGCTAGTAGTATAGCGAATGTTATTAGTAGAATTGGGGTTGATCAATCTACAAATAATTAAGCTTTCTTATCATCTCTAAAAGAGGTTTATAAAAAGTATTGTTCAGGAGTTTGGGGATCGGATGTGTTCTTATTAGAATGAAATACATAATTTTTAAATCACATACAAGAGGGCATTGGTATTATGTTGTGACGTTCTAATTCGCTTTAAAAAGCCAAGTTAGACAGTTTACATTCCGCATATAAGAAGGATGAGGGTTAAGCCCTTGGTATTTGCTTAGGCAAACATTTGTGTTTTTAAGCTATGTTTTAAAGGATATGTTTCGAGATTGGATGATTATTTATGAAACTATAAAAGGAAATTTTGAAAAAAATCTAATAAGGTTGATTTCAAAGGAGATTTTTATTTTTTTTTATTTTATTAGAAAGAACGATATCCTAAGTAGGAGTATATCTTGTTTTATTATGTTTATCATACGTGTTTTATTTTTTTTTGTTAATTACTCAGAATTTAGTATGTGGT